TAAACTTGTGCAAAATAGAAATATTACGTGAGGTTAAAAGTGCAGGGCATGGAAATCTACGTTCAATTTAAATTATACAACAAAGAAAATTACTGAGGTTAAAATTGTGAGATAGAGAAATATTGTATAAGGTGAAAATTGCAAAGTTAACAAATTTACATGAGATTAATATTTGTCACACTTTATCAGCGAGTCAAACAAAGTGTAACAAAACACATGATACATGTAATTTTTCACGTTGCGAGGAAATGCCTCGGTGATGTAATCTTTAACGCCACGAGGAAATGTCTCGGTGATGTGATCTTAAACGTAGCGAGGAAATAGATCTCGGTAATGTGATGATGATATGATGATAACAACGAAGACAACTGCCTAAGGAAAGAAATCTTTAACCCCTCCGTCGGTTCACGATATGAATTCTGCTGCACTTTTCTCGGTCTTTTTCCACAGTGGGACAACGTTAGGTTAATTTAACTGCCGTAAATGAACTATTAGCAATCTTGTGTGAAGAATTAAGAAGTGTTATAATATAACACTTAAGTATATGCATCCAGAAATTTATTTATAACCTGAGAAACAAACGACTGATGAGTCCGGACTAAGTGAATTTCATGAAATCTCCTAACAGTGATTTATTTAAATAAACCTAATGTCTGTTAAATTGTGTTAGAACCAGTTAACGATTAAAATCCTAACATGAACATGAATCAAATTTACACGGGTTGGCGTCACTCGAAAATTCACATGTTTTCCGATTAAAAAGTCGCAAGAATTAGCTGCGGGTGTTAGGGAAAACTGTGACATCGTCGTTACGATTAATTGTCGTTAAACAAAGGCTTCCTCCCTTTTATTAAATACCAAGCCAACTAAACTTAACCTACTCACTTATCGCGTCTTTTTTTATCATGCTCTTCTCACTCACGAAATCAAAACAATAATGACGCTTTCACCATTCTATCAAGCCGTCATCTTATCTACCAACCCACTCACCCTTTAACTAAAATCCCCTAGCGAACTACCAACTACCCAAAAAGCGTTAACGTGCACATGGTTGCCTATGTTTAACGATTTTTTTATTGATTTTTTTTTCAAATTCAAATTATTCGAATGTGATTTCGCGTCGCGTTAATTTTTTTCAGCTCGAAATTTTGATTCAAATTCGGCCACCACAAACTAGAAGGGCTTACATTTTGCCCTTTTCTTTTAATAAATATATGTAGTATTGTTTTCACAACAAGAAAGATAAAACATTTGTGGCGACACAATAACAGGTCGCTAAGCGGAGAAAGATAAGTGGCCTCGTGGTCTAGTGGTCAGGATACCTGCCGGGCAAGCGGGAGGCGTGGAGTTCGATTCCCACCTAGACAACATTTTTCTTCGTTTACCTTCAGATGTTTAAAATGGTAAATTTTTGTAGAAAAGTATCGACTTTGCAATCCGCCCTCGGTCTGACAACCAATGAAAAATTCATCACAATTCAGCTTGGTATGGATATGGGTGGGATTTAATTTTTGGCTTGTTTTTATTTCTTGTAGAGAAACTCCTCCCCTTGGCTCACAGCGAATAAAAAATCATCACAATTGAGATAGGACGAGTGGGCGAGGTTTACATTTTGCCTTTTTTTCATAATATGGGTAGTCATTTTTTTCACAACAAGCAACTTAAAACATGTTTAAAATGGTAAATTTTGCATAGGGAAATATAGATTTTGCAATTACGCTCCGCCCCTCGGTCTGACAACGACGAATAAAAAAATCGTCAAAATTGAGATAGGGCGGGTGGGCGGGGCTTATATCTTTTCATGAAGAGAAACTTAAAACATGGTTAAAATGGTTTTTGCCAGAAAATATGGATTTTACAATTATGGGGCAAAATCGTTATTTCTTTATACAAATTTTCCATTTTAAACATGTTTTAAGTTTCATGTTGTGAAAAGAAGTCTACACATATTAGAAAAAAAGGAAAAATGTAAGCCCGCCCACCCGCCCTGTCTCAAATGTGATGATTTTTTATTATTCTTCGTGAACCAAGGGGACGGAGCTTAGCCGCAAAATACTTATTTCTTTACAAGGAATTAAAAACATGTTTTTAAGTGTCGTGTTGTTCAAAGAATACTACGTATATCAAGAAATAAAGGCAAAATATAAACCCCGCCCACCCACCCCATCTCAATTTTGGTGGGAAAAAAAGCAGAAATTATTGCAGAAATGTTCTAGAACTAAAATTTAAATTGTTCTTCTCCAGATAAACACGATTTTATTAGTTTTGCATTCTCAACAAGAAAAATAATCTATAGTTTCAGTTACCATATTACATATTTTATATCTTCCATCTGCACACTTTCTGAGTGTCAGAGTAAAGTGATAAATAAAACAAAGCTAATCAATAATAATAGAAATGTTCTAGAACTAAAATTGAAATTGTTCATTAAAAATCTAAACCAAAAAATACCTACTACTAACATTTTTCAAACAAAAACGATTTGTTTTTATGTAGGTACCATTACCTGAGGTGAGTGTGCGCTTTGACGCTCCAAGTTTAGCTGCTGAATTCAGTGAGTAACTTATAATCAAAACTTAATCTCTCAAGTGGTACCCATACATAGTCCTACTGAATATTGGCTTTAAAATGGTAATAACTCATTGGTGTTATTAATTAAGTTAACAATTTTGTCGGTTGAGTGATCGTGGTTGGTCGCGTCTCTGGGTGTTCAAGGTTTAAAACCTCAAAACTGGTGAGTTTGTTCCAATTTATAGAGCTCTGGACTGGTTTATTTTTTTGATAATGTATAAATGTCGCATTAAGTGAATCCTCATTTAATAATTTGCATTAGTTCTTTGATTTTTTTACTGGTTATTCACCAGTAGTCGCTTCTCGCTATCAGAGTTTTGTACTTTTTTGTCATTTTACTGATAAGTTTCTTTCGCTGTTATTGTGAGACGAGTCTGACGATTTTTGTCGCTGTCGTCTCACTTTTGCCACTATGGCAATCAAATGCAGGAAATGTAACAAGGCGATTAGTAGATAATTGAGAATCTAGATTAAATGTTGACCACTTAGTTTACGCACATGATCTAACGATATTTCAACAAATTGATTGTTTAGATGACTGTCGCAAGTTACAATATAACATGGACACAATATAGCAATGGTGCCTGGAAAATAGTATACAGGATGTTCATTTTATCTGTTCATGCCTGAATATTTCTGCATAGGCAACCCATTTTACGTTTCATAAACAGCTTTGATTGATTTTAACCAAAATCATGACAAATTATGTCTGTCAGCCGAATATTTTCAATTTTAGTTTGTTTAAAATGTTTTTGAATTCTGAAAAACAGACATGCTATTAATATTGGGAAAGTGTGACAAAAATTGTATTAATATTTTTGTACATCATATTGAGGAGGTGGTTTCCTCTGCTTACAAAAGTCTATGATGACTAAAATAATTTGTAGTTCTAGCTTTATGGCTTTAACAGTAATTATAGCTGTTTTCTTCTTCTGCGAACTCCAAGTCTTGTTTCTGTCGCTAAGATTGATTTATAATTATCCTATGATTATTGAAATGATTTGTAGCTCGAGCTTTCTGGCACTAACAGTAATTATAGCTGTTTTTTCCTTTGTGAACTACAAGTCTTGTTTCCGCCGCTGACGTTGATTTATAATTGCGCTTGTTAGTCAATGGAGTTAATAATAACAATAATAAACACGATTTTTTACCTGGAAATGTCAGTACTTATTTTAAAATTTTTACCAATCCAAAGTTCAGAATAATAATTAAAAACTTTGTAGCATTTATTTCTGTTCACCTACTATGGTACAAATTACACTTTCTTCTATTACACCAAAAAAATTCTTCTATCACGTATATCTTTTATATCACAAATAATATAGTGGGAATAAAAGTAGTAGAAATCATTACAGAAATGTTCCAGAACTAAAATTGAAATTGTTCTTCTCCAGATAAACACGATTTTTTATTAGTTAGTGTATTTTTGTATGTATTTTCTGAAATCACCGAGTATAGTTAGAAAAAACTAATCATAGAATGTTCTAGAGCAAAATTAAAATTGTTCTTTATTAGGTCTCAGGTATCTCTTACATGTTCTTTCTGAGATCTCATTATATAGTGTAATTCATTGTAGAAATGGTCCAGAACTAAAATTTAAACTGTTCTCCAGATAAACACGATTTTTATTGATTTTATATAGAACAGTAATTGAAAATGTCAGTTAGTGCTTATTTTAAAATTTTTATCAATAATCTAAATTTCAGAATATTTTAAAGACTGTTCTAGCATTTATTTCTATCCCTCTATTACAACAAAAATAATTCTGCTACCTACCATGTATCATGTAATAGGCTATACCTTTTGAGATAACAATAATATAGTGCGAATAAAAGAAGCAGAAATATTCCAGAACTAAAATTTAAACTGTTTTCTCCAGATAAACACGATTTTTCTTAGTTTTACACAGAATAGTCTAATTATTTAAAAATTTTAGCAAAATAAAATACAGACTATTTTAAAAACAATTCTAGCTTTGATTTTTTTCTGTTTATCCACTGTATCGTACAAAATTAGTTTTGTTCTCAACAACAAAAATAATCCGTAGTTTCAGCTACGATCAGGTGTATCTCTTATATCTAGGTAGTTTCTGAAATCATAGAGTATAGTGAAAAAAAAAAACATCACTGGTCATAAAACTAGAACTAAAATTAAAATTGTTCTCTATTAGGTTTCATCTTATCTTTTAAACGTCTTTCTGAGTTCACAATATAGTGGGAAAATATATGCAAAATTCACTGTAAAAATGTTCCAGAACTAAAATTAAAATTGTTCTCCACATTAACATTTTTGGGTTTACATAGAAGAGTAGTGGAAGTGGAAACGACAGCATTTGTTTTAAAATGTCTAGTAATCTAAAGCTCAGAACATTTTTACAACTTTCTAGCTTTTATTTATCTCTGTTCATTCTTACTTTTATTAAATTACTTTCATTCTCAACAAGAAAAATAATCATTAATTTCAGTTACCATACATCATAGTGTCTCCTGTCTGCACATTTTCTGAGAAATCACAGTATAGTGATAGAAAAAACAGGATGTCCAAAAAATATTATCTTTTTATTTTTGTTTTACATAAAATAGTAAGTGTAAACATCAGTCTTTACTTAAAAAAAAACAGCCAATATTCAGTCCAAATTGCAGTAAAGCACATAAAAAGTGTGTTACACAATACATACTTTTAATTCTATCTAAGTATTTACAAATATATTAAATTACTGAGCATTAAAACATTAAAAAAATAGAAACACATCAAGGTTTGCATCCTTTGATAAATTCCACCCTTGCTGGTGTTAAACAAAACGCAGGAATCTGTGCATTATGACACTCTGGACATCTTACACCAATATTCCAGTTGAAAGAGCCCACGTTGACATTACATTGTGGGCACCACAGCGCTCTTTGGAGGATCTTGCAGCAATCCATCCAATCAATTGGAAAAACAAAATACGCCATATTACACACTTCTCCCTGGTGGGTCTTGTGAGGAATCAATTGTGACTCATCTGCTAAAACCCTACTACACTCCTTACAACAATAAACGTTGGCTTCTGGCGCTACTGGACCCAGTCCAGGATCCTTCTGGATGACATCCTTGCACTCTTGTGGCACCAACTGCATTTCACGTACTTGATTTGCAACTTTCTGCAATCTGTAAATTCTATAATTTGTGTATGACGAGTCTACTTTGTACCCCATTTCTTGGTAAAGTTTCAATTGCGCAATAAATCCAGTGTTGAGGCAGACCTTATTTCTTTGCTCTTGCACCCTCTCAAATGCTTCTTTATACAAAACGTGATGCTTCCTCATAATAAACGCAATAATAGTAGAGGCGCTTCGACACACGCCGTAAAAGCAGTGAACTAACACACATCCTTTGGACAGACCTTTTGAAATAAAAGCGTAAGTATCATCTAGGTGATACAACAAGTCGTCTTCTGGTTGATCGCGAAGACAGATGAATTTTGTGGTCAAATTTTCGTTCTTTACTATTTCATGAGGTAGTGGAGTTTGATCGATCGATAAAATGTGCGTTATGTTATATTTTTCAATAGTTTGAAGATCTTTGGCTGCTGAACGATTTCCCAAATACAGATTCGGCTCAATGAGATCAATACTAATTCTTTTGGGCACCGTAACCATTGTACTTAAAAAACTACTACTACTAGTGTGTATTTTATAAATAATTTCAATACAAACCTGGTTTAAAAAATCTATCACAGATTTTCAAAATCTAAATGCAAGATGGCTTCCACACGCCAGCAAATATGATCCTTAATTCACGAATCAAAATAGGCGAATTTCGATTTTATTGGCAGTGAACACAGTATTAAACGACGGTTGAGGTAGGATGTCCTTGATTGTTTAAAAATTTAAAAGAAAATGGTGTAGTGGCTACACTGCAATATTAACTAGAATTTGTGTTATTAATTTGGCACTAGAAACGCTAGTAACATTGACATTATTGACAGATGGCACACTTGTCAATGAAATAGGGAGCTGCGGCGCATGGATAAAGCGCACGTGACTATAATATCGACTTCGGTATTTTAAACAGTTGTAAAAATACCGGCAATGGTCAAACAACTTCGGATTTTTTTAAGTAAATATATTGTTGCTTACAATTTAAAACACACTAAATTATTTCTTTATTTTGATGGTGCAACAAAATCCACTTCTGACGGTTTTAGACAAAAACCAGGAACTTGTTTGGCGCCACACTGACATCCAATACCACCAATCCAGTTAAACCACCCCACATCTGACTTACATCGTGGACAATGCAGTTCACTCTCAATACTATTAGTAACATTCATCCAAGCCACAGGCATAACAAAATACGATTTGGTGCAAATTTCGCCCTCGTGTTCATGCGGAATTAAATTTGAACCCTTCACCAAAATCCGTTTGCATTTTTTGCAACTATAAGCGTTTGATTTCATTCCTAATTCTTCCAGTTCTGGATCGTCTTCAATGATGTTCATGTTTTCCTGTAGCACAGCGTGAATTGGACGCACATAATAAGCTACTTTTTCGATTTTAAATATTTTGTAATCTATGTTCATAGCATCCACTTCGTATCCCATTTTTCGATACATTTTTAACTGGAAGACAAATCCAGGGTTTGGATCTATATTATATCTCGCTTGTTGCACTCTGTTAAAAGCTTCGTCGTAAGTTAGTTGGTGTTTTTTCATTATGAATCCAATGACGACGGATGCACTTCTGGAAATACCGCCGAAACAGTGAACAAGTACAGCTCCTTTTGATAAACCTTCTGAAATAAAGGAATAACAGTCCTCCAAATGTCTTAATAAATCCTCGGTAGGCTCATCTTCGAGCAATAAACATTTCATGGTAAAATTTCCGTTTTTTTCCATTTCTTCTGCTAGAGGCATTTCTTCACAGGTTAAAATATGTGTTATGTTATATTTTTTAAGAAGATCGATAGCGTCGACGGTTGGCCGACTTCCCAGATATAAATTTGGTTCTATGAGATTAAGATTCGTCTCAATTAACGGCACGAACTTGAAATAATTTCCCAACTTTTTATACACCGAGAACATCGATATTTTGTTCATTATGTTTTCTTTAAATAAACATGAGCAAGTTACCAACAAAACCTCTTAGTACTGTTTGAAAAATAATGTTAGTGGTGGACGTGTACCAGTGATAAGTTATTAACTAATGCGCATGCGCACAGGTTTTTTTTTTTAATAGAATGCGATTCATTATCTGCCTGACTGCCTGTAAGTTGTGTCCATATATTTAATAAGTAGGTATATAACAGACATGTTGTTGTGCCACATAATAAATTAATAAAAACCTTATCATTATTTACGTTTAACACGAAAGCAAAAATACAGCTGTTCATAAATTTCAAGAACTACGTAAAAGTTACTGATTATTTATTTTTATTCACAACATTTTTATGATTTTAAATTTTATAAGAGAAAATAAAATTTTTAGATATGCAACCAACAATATAAGAGAAAGTGATAATACGAGATGAACGGATTTATCTTTCTAGTTCACTTAAGTACATTAAATTTTTCTACACATTCTTAAAAAATAAATCACGCGTCATCGATACTTTTGTTTTACATAAAATAGTAAGTGTAAACGTCAGTCTTTACTTAAAAAAAAAAAACTAGCCAACATTCAGCCCAAATTGCAGTAAGGCACATAAAAAGTGTGTTACACAGTACATACTTTTAAGTCTATTTACAAATACATTAAATTACTGAGCATTAAAACATTAAAAAATAGAAACACACATCAAGGTTTGCATCCTTTGATAAATTCCACTCTAGCTGGTGTTAAACAAAACGCAGGAATGTGTGCATTGTGACACTCTGGACATCTTATACCAATATTCCAGTTGAAAGAGCCCACGTTTACATTACATTGTGGGCACCACAGCGCTCTTTGGAGAATCTTGCAGCAATCCATCCAATCAATTGGAAAAACAAAATACGCCATATTACACACTTCTGCCTGGTGGGTCTTGTGAGGAATCAATTGTGACTCATCTGCTAACACCCTACTACACTCCTTACAACAATAAACGTTGGCTCTTGGCGCTACTGGACCCAGTCCAGGATCCTTCTGGATGATATCCTTGCACTCTTGTGGCACCAACTGCATTTCACGTACTTGATTTGCAACTTTCTGCAATCTGTAAATTCTATAATTTTTGTATGAAGAGTCTACTTTGTACCCCATTTCTTGGTAAAGTTTCAATTGCGCAATTAATCCAGTGTTGGGGCAGACCTTATTTCTTTGCTCTTGCACCCTCTCAAATGCTTCTTTATACAAAACGTGATGCTTCCTCATAATAAACGCAATAATAGTAGAGGCGCTTCGACACACGCCGTAAAAGCAGTGAACTAACACACATCCTTTGGACAGACCTTTTGAAATAAAAGCGTAAGTATCATCTAGGTGATACAACAAATCATCTTCTGGTTGATCGCCAAGACAGATGAATGTTGTGGTCAAATTTTCGTTCTTTACTATTTCATGAGGAAGTGGAGTTTGATCGATCGTCAGAATGTGCGTTATGTTGTATTTTTTAATAGTTTCGCGATCTTTGGCTGCCGAACGATTTCCCAAATACAGATTCGGCTCGATGAGATCAATACTAATTCTTTTGGGCAACGTAACCATTTTACTTGAAAAACTACTAGTACTAGTGTATATTTTATAAATAGTTTCAATACAAACCTGGTTTAAAAAAATCTATTACAGATTTTCAAAATGTAAATACAATATGGCTTCCACACGCCAGCAAATGTGATCCTTAATTCACGAATCGAAATAGGCGAATTTCGATTTTATTGGCAGAGAATACACCATTAAACGACGGTTGAGGTAGGATGTCCTTGATTGTTTAAAAATTTAAAAGAAAATGGTGTAGTGGCTACACTGTAATATTAACTAAAATCTGTGGCACTAGTAACGCTAGTAACATTGATATTGACAGATGGTAGTGATGGTAGTGTTGTGCCCATATTTTGTCTTTGACCAAATTTACCCCATAAGGAATTTAAGCAGATGTTTGCAACAGCTCTCTTTCCAGGATTATTTTCTATTTTACCCAATTCAATACCTAGATTTTCTTTTACGGCTTTTCTATATTCTTCTTCTGATTCAAAATCATTCTGCCACGGACTTGTTTCTAATTTAATTTTCATAAATGCTTTCACATATCCTTTAAACAAATATGATGGTTTTCTTGGAAAATGCCAAACTTCATCAATTCTTATTATTTTGTATCCTTTTTCAATTGCTTATTCTACCTCGTTTGTACACCAGGATCCTCTGACAATTCTTTGAGATTCTGTATGAGTACATTTCAGGGGCGGCTTGTCCCATGAGGCAGGTGAGGCAGTGCCTCACCAATGAATTTTACGCCTTATTAGGATTTTTACTATTTTTTAACGACACATTTCGGCCAATAATTTGTGTCTTTTTTCTAAAATTTTAAAAATAAATATGGAAAATTATATTCTTATTTTTATCTCAGTAGGTACTCGTTGCTCCCTTAATTAAACAGCGCGCTGAAACACTCGACACAACATGTATTTTGTGACGCGAATGAGGCAAACTCGGAGCTTGCCTCTACAGCGGATATAGAAATCATATCGTTAATAGGCAAGCAACCTGCAATACACTCATAAGCGGTATGAGTTGAAAAAAGACAAAATTGAGGCTATCCTCATTTCCGTGCTTGCAAAAGAGATGGACAACAATATTTGCGCGCGGAGAACGTGCGATTACAATGCAGTTTGCATTTGCAGAAGTATTCAAAATTAGGTCGTTGATTGTTTTGCCACAAATCTGTGTGTGTATAAATTGATTCAAAATTTCGGTAACAGAATTTTGTCTTAAAAGTGCCTACGTTTGTGTGTGTCGCGTTAGTGCTTTGTGCTTGTCATAATTTGATTTCGGTAATCGTTATTTAAGATTACGAGTAAATCGGAATTTTTCTCTACTAACGTTAAATGACAATAGCAGTTCTGTTTTTTCTACTTTCACGTATGATGATAAATTGTATGTAGTTAAGGAATTAAAACGGCCGGTTCCTGATTTGAGTAAATCGTTAATTATTATTGATCTATAAAAAAGTTTAAAATAAATCCAGAGTATTTATGTTTTATATGTTTTTCGTTTTGTTTTTTGTTATAAATCAAATAGGTTTATTTTATGTTGTACTATTTGATTTTTTTCGATATGTTTTCTTTAAAGTTTATTTTATTTTAATTTTGTTTTTTTTTTAAGTTATATTAGTTTTTTCTGACCACGTTTCCCTTTCCTTTTGTCCTGTCATTCCCATCCTTTCCTTACAAGAGTTCCTTACACCTTCACGTTGGTTCTTGGTGGACAGTTAAATGAGTTTACAAATTTGTTTATTTGACTAAGTAGAAAATATTTAAGTAATCTTGATTTATTTATATTTTGGAGCGTATTGTGCTTTGCCTCATCAACTTTTCAAGTCATGAGCCGCCCCTGGTACATTTATCTTTTTGATTATTTAATTTTGCACACAATTGACATAATGGAAATATTAGTTTTTCATCGCCAGATTTGGATTTATTCTTAACAGCTAAAACGGGGTGATAAAAACCTCTCGGTGGTAAAATTGCACATTTTATTAAACCATATCAATTTGAATTATACGTAGGAGGTTTGAATATTTTAGTAGGATATCCAACTGGATAATCATCATAACATTGTACTGTTGGATATAAACTACAAATATCTATACATTTCATTTTCTTTCCCTTAACTTTAAATTTTGTTGCATTAGTTCTTCCCCCAAAGAATGCATTTCTAGGATTAAGTTCTTCAATTTCTTTAATTTCTTTTTCAATTTGTTTCATTTCTTCTTTATATTTTTTAGATTTAATCCAATTGCATTCCCACATTTCTATTAAATTATAGCAAGCTTTTTTCATTTGCTCGCTTCATTCTATTGTTTGTTCATAAAGATCTTCCATAGTTGTTTTATTCTTATTATTAATAAAAGCTGAGCTATAACATTTTGTACAACCATGCCAAAAACAACCGTGATATTGATAGACTGTATTAGTTTTTTCGTCAAACCCATCAACTTTTGATTCACATATTCTCACTTCTATTTGGATTATGAAAACTATTCAAGCAAGAAATTGATTTTGAGTTGAGAATATTTATCTTTTTTCAGATTATCAACAACTGCAATTGTATCTTTCGTAATATAATTTGATTTATATATAGCCATACAAACACCAGCAATTGTAATGTATCTAAAAAGATCTATGTTAGCTATTTCTAGAAACTGTTTTCTTAATTCAAGATATCCTCTTCTTAATATATCGACATCAAAATTACAATAATCATAAAGTTCTTTTTTAAAATTATACAAATAGTTTTCTTTTCTTTTTTGTTTATGCCATTCTAAAAACTCTTGCCTTTCTTTTATTTTCATAGAATTAACACCCTAGTATTTTGTATTAGGTATTTTTCCAATATAGTTCTGATTTTCTGTTGTATTGAAAAAGTGTGGAAAATAACCTTTTTAAGTTCTTTTAGACCGAATGTTTTGTGGAAGTTTTTTAAAGGTCCTTGAACAAAGTTACTACTATCAATAAATCTTAAATTAATTGATTTTATTTCCATTAACATTATTTTAGATCCATTATATGTATATGCAGAAAGTTTTGATACCGTTTTCAACGCAATATTTTAGAATAAAGTAAGAATCATAACCTTTTCTATAATGTGCAATAGCTGTGTATCCTGTATGATCTTTAGAAACTAACCATTTACAGAAATCTTCGTTAAATTAGGTACATGAGTTCCAGTTTCCTGTATTGCTTCGTAATCAAAGAATAAATATTTTTTGTGTAAGTACATTTAGTTGTATCAATTATACAACCACATTTAAGACATTGAAAATTGGTATTTTAACACAGTTTTTATTTATTATTATGTATTTCATACATCGATAAATGTGATATTTTACTCTTTTCTTTGTTGTATCAGAAAAAGTTACTGTACAACCTTTTCTATCACAATTTTTACAACCTTTTACTTTGTACTTTTTATCACCGTCTTTCATTGTTGTTTCACAGTTTCCACCTTTTTGTCGTTTCCACTGCATATAACATTTATTTTTAAGTATTTCAACCTCCTTATAACAATTTCGACATTTTTCCCAACCACATTTATGTTCTTTTTTACCACCCTCTTCAGTCATTTTGCTACTATTTTCTATCATTTTTCTACCCTTTTTTATCATTTTCGGATCATCTTCGGTTTTGTTATAGTATCGCCAAAGAGAGGAAGCATGTTATTTACTTCTTCAATCATTTTATTTCCTTCTTCAATAATTTTTTTACCTTCGTCAACCTTTTTATCACCTCTTTCGAGTGTTTTATTTCACTTTAAACATTATTTGCAAAATCCTTCACAAACTTCAGAATGATTTTCTAAACACTTTTGATTAAAACAGTATCTATTGCATTTTTCACAATATATTCTTTGTTTAGACTCTTCTTTGTCTTTAAGTTTAAAACACATCATGCATATTTTATCTCTTTTTTTACATTCATGTTTATCTTTGGCTTGATATGGTTTATTACATTTGCCACAATAATAAGTTTGACCATAGAAAACTGTCATACTATTGATTGTATCAAAATGATTTCCATTTATACATATAAATATATTTTTATATCTTTTTCAGGCCTCGAATATATTATGGAATTAAAGCATTCAGCAGCTATGATTTTTGTTTGAATATTCAATACTTTTTTTTTAACGTTCGTTAAAATTTTGTATGCGACTCGTGAGTAAAGTGGCCTTTTTTTATTCGGCGCATTTGCGCAAATTTTCCTTCTCCTAAAAAAAGATACACTTTACTCACTAGTTGCATAATAGTTACTTATTTAGGGAATTATGCAATAATTTAGGCATGTTTTGTAATTAAATAAGGTAGAGTGTTGATGTAATTCGTATTTGATCTAATTTTGTTATGTATTTAATCACCTTGTAGTAAGGAATCTATTTTTATAATGTCTATGATATTCGTAACTTACTTCTTCTGTATACAAGTAGATAAATACAAAATATTTTATTTGGCTGATTTCTTGTCGAAAAATCGTAACATACCGTTTGGATATTAATCCCTTTTGTTGTTAATTAATAATGAATCAATTGAAAACTCAACGTTCAAGTAATCACAATAATGTTTTACTTTAATGTGCTAATCTTAAAGAATTTTGAACCATAAAAGTCATCAAATTTTTAAAAACCAAAAAACTCATACAATTTTTGTCAACATTAGAAAGCACCCTGCGCTCAGCCTGTGTTACGTCTATGGTGTCATAGTACAACAAGTGTCGTTAGAGGCGCTACAGTCAACAGCTGTTATTATTGTCCTGTCAACTGTCAAGTTCCAAACCTTATTTATTTATAAATTCATTTGTCTGATTCGATGATCAGTTATAAGTTATAACTTGTAATACAGTTAACTTAAAATTGTAAAATTCTCGATTCTATAGTGAACGAGAAGTTATTATTTTAACTGGCATATAATTGTAGATACCATAACACAAGGTAAGATTTGCGTTTGTTAAACATTAGTAACAGTATATAGAGTTACTTACCTTTATTTATGCTTTTTATAACCTGGCGAAGACAACGCGGTTGTTGTAACGCCGCTTTTGATATTATTAAATAATATGAGAATAAATTTGGGGATAGGTAAAAAATAACAAATTTATTTATTTTTGTTCGCAGGTATGGCGGAAGCTATAAACCTAATGCCGTGTGTGGATCATCAACACAACACGTCAAAAAGAGCAATTCACATCTTTGAACAAAGATGTTTGCCAGAATTTGTTGTGGACAGGGTAGAGGCCGATAAATGTCCGGGAAATATGCCGTGCCGCTGGAGTCTCTTCTATAAATATAGAAATCCAGATCAACAATATGAAGGGGGAGATTGTGCAAAACGCATTACCTGAAGGCACCAATATTATGAAGCCATCAATAACACTTACAATGGTCATTAATGATGGCTCTTGCTACAAAATATGTTATGGCGTAATTTGCGACTGCATATATGATGATATCCCGTTTTTTGACGTTAATGACGACGGTTTATGTCATGTTGGTGAAAGCTTTTCATACTAATGTATTTGGACATAGAGAAACTAAATGATCAAAAACAGTAAAAAAATTGTAATTATGCTTTGTTAATCAATTTTTTAAATTTTGTACTTAATAACTATTTCGTTGGTTTTATATTAAAGTTTACCATGTACTTGACTCGCTGCCAGCTAAAGGGGTAGATCTGATAAAAAATGGTGTGTGCTTAACAACCCATATAGTTTTGCTTTTTAAATATACCTTTAAAATTAGGACAAAATGACTAAAAACAAAGTGTTTGAAGGGCATACTTTAAGTACCATTAAACATGTTTTAATAACCATGCACGTCAAATCAAAAATGGCAAAGCTGAAACACCCCAAAACTGAAAAATTTAAAAGTCAAAGAAAAATTGGAGAATCGAAGCACTGTAAAATCTCCAAGCTGAAAGAAACATCAGTAAATTGAGAAATTGAAAATTCCTCAGTTTTGTAATATCAATTTGTCTCTTAAAAAAGTAAAAATCGCAGTAACTATCAACTTTAATTATTATACAAAATACTTAGCAAAAAAGAAAGAGAACTAAAAATAGAATAAGATGCAGTAATGCAATATGTATAGATTCTTCTATTTGCAAAATCTGAAATATCGATATTTGAAAATTGTAATAATCAAAACATTTTGATAAACACTCTGTGTAAGAAAACTGAATCTCAGTTACATCACAACAAATCCCATACTATCAATTTTGTTATACGTACCTTTCAATAACACCCTGTATTATAAAGCTGAGAGTTTGTTTGGTTGAACGCGCTAATCTCAGAAACTACTGGTTAGAATAGAAAAAATCTTTTTATGTTGGATAGTCCATTTATCGTAGAAGTAGCAATGAAAAATTCGGAAAAACGGGAAAATTATTCTTCCTTTCACAGCTTCCGTTGCTTAAACGACTAAAGTTACGTAAAAATCATGTATGAGTAAAAGTTCTAAAAAAAAAGTCCGCGACAGCATATGTCTATCTTTGAAGGTCGACTCAGTATAACCTTAAACAGCACTGGTCATAAAAATTATTCTAGAACTAAAATTAAAATTGCTCTCTACTAGATTTCATCTATCTTTTAAACGTGCTTTTTGAGTTCACAATATAGTGGGAAAATATAGGCAAAATTCACTGTAGAAGTGTTCCAGAACTAAAATTAAAATTAACACATTAACATTATTTTTTGGGTTTACATAGAACAGTAATGGAAGTGGAAACGATAGTATTTATTTTAAAATGTCTAGTAATCTAAAGCTTACAACATTTTTAAAACTTTGTAGCATTTATTTATCTCTGTCCATTCTTACTTTTATTAAATTACTTTCATTCTCAACAAGAAAAATAATCATTTGTTTCAGTTACCATACATCATAGTGTGTCTGCTATTTGCACACTTTCTGAGAAATCACAGTATAGTGATAGAAAAAACAGGATGTCCAAAAAATATTATCTTTTTATTCTTGTTTTACATAAAATAGTAAGTGTAAACGTCAGTCTTTACTTAAAAAAAACAACCAATATTCAGTCCAAATTGCAGTAAAGCAGATAAAAAGTGTGTTACACAATACATACTTTTAATTTTATCTATTTACAAATATATTAAATTACTGAGCATTACAACATTAAAAAATAGAAACACACATCAAGGTTTGAATCCTTTGACAAATTCCACCCTTGCTGGTGTTAAACAAAACGCAGGAATCTGTGCATTGTGACACTCTGGACATCTTACACCAATATTCCAGTTGAAAGAGCCCACGTTTATATTACATTGTGGGCACCACAGCGCTCTTTGGAGAACCTTGCAGCAATCCATCCAATCAATTGGAAAAACAAAATACGCCATATTACACACTTCTCCCTGGTGGGTCTTGTGAGGAATCAATTGTGACTCATCTGCTAACACCCTACTACACTCCTTACAACAATAAACGTTGGCTTCTGGCGCTCCTGGACCCAGTCCAGGATCCTTCTGGATGACATCCTTACACTCTTCTGGCACCAACTGCATTTCACGTACTTGATTTGCAACTTTCTGCAATCTGTAAATTCTATAATTTGTGTATGAAGAGTCTACTTTGTACCCCATTTCGTGATAAAGTTTCAATTGCGCAATTAATCCAGTGTTGGGGCAGACCTTATTTCTTTGCTCTTGCACCCTTTCAAATGCTTCTTTATACAAAATGTGATGCTTTTTCATAAAAAAAGCAATAATAGTAGATGCGCTATGAGACACGCCATAAAAACAGTGAACCAACACACATCCTTTGGACAGGCCTTTTGAAATAAAAGCGTAAGTATCATCTAGGTGATACAATAAGTCGTCTTTTGGTTGATCGCGAAGACAGATGAATTTTGTGGTCAAATTTTCGTTCTTTACTATTTCATGGGGTAGTGGAGTTTGATCGATCGTCAGAATGTGCGTTATATTGTATTTTCTAATAGTTTCGAGATCTTTGGCTGCCGAACGATTTCCCAAATACAGATTCGGCTCAATTAGATCAATACTGATTCTTTTGGGCACCGTAACCATTGTACTTGAAAAACTATTACTACTAGTGTATATTTTATAAATAGTTTCAATACAAACCTGGTTTAAAAAAATCTATCACAAATTTTCAAAATGTAAATACAAGATGGCTTCCAGACGCCAGCAAATATGATCCTTAATTCACGAATCGAAATAGGCGAATTTCGATTTTATTGGCTGTGAATACACTATTAAACGACGGTTGAGGTAGGATGTCCTTGATTGTTTAAAAATTTAAAAGAAAATGGTGTAGTGGCTACACTGCAATATTAACTAGAATTTGTGTTATTAATTTGGCATTAGTAACGCTAGTAACATTGACATTGACATTTGGTACACTTGTTAATGAAATAGGGAGCTGCGGCGCATGGATGAAGCGCACGTGACTATAATATCGACTTCGGTATTTTAAACAGCTGAAAAAATACCGGCAATGGTCAAACAACTTCGAATTTTTTTAAGTAAATATATTGTTGCTTACAATTTAAAACACACTAAATTATTTCTTTATTTTGATGGTGCTACAAAATCCACTTCTGACGGTTTTAGATAAAAACCAGGAACTTGTTTGGCGCCACATTGACACTCAATACCACCAATCCAGTTAAACCACCCCACATTCGACTTACATCGTGGACAATGCAGTTCACTGTCGATACTATTAGTAACCTTCATCCAAGCCACAGGCATAACAAAATACGATTTGGCGCAAATTTCGCCCTCGTGTTCGTGCGGAATTAAATTTGAACCCTTCACCAAAATCCGTTTGCATTTTTTGCAACAATAAGCTTTTGATTTCATTCCTAATTCTTCCAGTTCTGGATCGTCTTCAATGATGTTCGTGTTTTCCTGGAGCACAGCGTGAATTCGACGCACATAAAGAGCTACTTTTTTGATTTTAAATATTTTGTAATCTATGTTCATAGAATCCACTTCGTATCCCATTTTTCGATACATTTTTAACTGGGAGACAAATCCAGGGTTTGGATCTATATTATATCTCCCTTGTTGCACTCTGTTAAAAGCTTCGTCGTAAGTTAGTTGGTGTTTTTTCATTATGAATCCAATTACGACGGATGCACTTCTGGAAATACCGCCGAAACAGTGAACAAGTACAGTTCCTTTTGATAAACCTTCTGAAATAAAGGAATAACAGTCCTCCAAACGTCTTAATAAATCCTCGGTGGGCTCATCTTCGAGCATTATACATTTCATGGTAAAATTTCCGGTTTTTCCCATTTCTTCTGGTAGAGGCATTTCTTCACAGGTTAAAATATGTGTTATGTTATATTTTTGAAGAAGATCGATATCATCGACGGTTGGTCGACTTCCCAGATATAAATTTGGTTCTATGAGGTTAAGATTCGTCCCAATTAACGGCACTAACTTGAAATAATTTCCCAACTTTTTATACACCGCGAACATCGATATTTTGTTCATTATGTTTTATTTAAATAAATATGGGCAAGTTATCAACAAAACCTGCTAGTACTGTTTGAAAAATAATGTTTTCGAGTGGTGGACGTGTACTAGTGATAAGTTATTAACTAATGCGCATGCGCGCAGTTTTTTTTTTAATAGAATGCGATTCATTATCAGTCGACCGTTTGTAGGTTGTGTCCATATAAGCCATTTATTAAGTAGGTAAAAGACATGTTGTTGTGCCACATAATAAATTAATAAAAACCTTATCATTATTTACGTTTAACACGAAAGCAAAAACACAGCTGTTCATAAATTCCAAGAACTACTTAAAAGTTGCTGATTATTTGTTTTTATTCACAACATTTTTACGTTTTTAAATTTTATAAGAGAAAATTAAATTTTTAGATATGCAACCAACAATATAAGAGAAAGTGATAATACGAGATGAACGGATTTATCTTTCCAGTTCACTTAGTTTAAGTCATTCACTCTAAATTTCTCTACACATTGTTAAAAAATAAATCACGCGTCATCGATACTTCCTCATCCTCTCCCCCTTCGAAGAAAAGGCACCACCTATTCTTAATTATCCCCTTCGGGCTAATTTCCATAAAACCGTGTTAAAAATTAATTAAAACGACGGCAACAAGCGGAGATTCTCCTTAATATGTTGCACGTTATCGTCTCCATTATCTCTGTTTTAGTGCTTATCTCGAGACTCATTCATTTTTATGGTCGAGTTGTGAGTGTCCATTCATTACCCAACCAGATTACAGAACGTATTTTATTTTTTTTTACCTTCCGATTCAAGAAACCGGTCATTTAGAATATTGTTATGAATGCGAGGATGGCTACGGGGCGAAAATCCGGTCGACGATTCGAGGGGTTCGTGGGTTCAGTGACTCCACAAAGGACGCCAGTCCCTTGGGGAGATGCGGATTAGTGTCGATTTTTCTGAGTTCTTTAAAGTAAATGTAATGTGTGAATACATTCCGCCATTTTGTTCTAGAATGTAATAACTAATAAAATAACAAGTTTCATGTATCACTGGTTTGTAATCAAGGCCGCCACATTAAAGTTAAAATATAGTTTGTTGTGACACTTATTTACATCAAAACACATATTTATTCCACAAGCACAACCAAAGCGGATGATAACGAGTGTTGTTTACGAGTTTGTTTAAATAATTATAAAACGCACGTGTATTTTTAGTACGAGCGGTGACAGTACGTGTTCAGATTATAACGAAGTTTATACACTGAATGACGACTTATCTACATCACTGAGTATAATTTTTTGCAATTTTTTAACCATTTACTAAATTTTAAGCAAATATGAACATGAATAAGTGGCACAATTTTTCCAGTGTATTTCAGTCTAATAAGTAGGCAACCAATAATTCAACTTCAATGCTAAATTTGCTACCTACGTCGAAAACTTGGCCCCGCCGCCGCCACTGGACGTCAATTCATCGTCATGCCCCATAATCAAAACCCAATATGTTTGATTCGTTCCCATAAATTATAGCACTGACGTGCTTTCGGATTTTCTCGATGTTAAAAATGTGCGCTGCGTCCAGTTAAAGCCTCGCGTTTGTTATGCGTGCAGCGATTCGCACGTTTCCTGTTGGAAATGGTTTTATAATCATCCACGTTTCCGGATGGCGGAGTGATCTTTAATTGGACTTTTCGTGTGTGATGGAAGGCCGATTTTTTGTGGTAAATCCCTGTTTTATCGAGTTTTTAATGGCGCTAGACATAAATCGCAATTATAGGGTCGAGCTGTAAAGTTGGCAGTATGTGGTGGGTTATGGCGGTGTTATACCTTTACGGGCTTTAAACAGGTGCGGTTTTGCTTATTTTTGGGTGATTTTAGAGTTTTGCAGGGGCGGCGCGTGATATAGGGCGCAGGGGCAAGAAACATAAAATCATTCCTATGTTTTCAACCGGTTCATCCCCCTCATAATTACGCCATAAAATTTGAATGTTTCGGGTAGGGTTCGTTTGACGAATGGTTAATTTTAGGTCCTGTCTACGTTTCATAGCCTCTGCAGTATGAAAAAGTAGGACCGCATTTTCGTCTGTTGGATTGATTGTTGTCAGCTCTCTTTACTGTCCCACTGACTCACCAGGATATGGAAGGTGTGATAGTAATACTAAGTTTTTGTCTCTTTACGGATACAAGTTGATAAATTATGTCTTTAGGCGAGAGTGTAATAGTTTTGGCATCTCTTTACATAATTTATTTGGCTTTATTCTTATATTTTCTTACATAAAATCATTAATTAGGCTTTCTTGGACCTGTAATGATTCTCGCTCGTCCTCTAATACCACTGGTGAGACGGATTCATGTAGTTGCTGTAAAATTATTCCCTTCTTAATTGAAAGCATTAACAAGTTCAATTCTATATCTCATTATAGTTGGTACACCTGAGCCCCAGCAGAACTTGCCTAAAGAAGAAATCTGTATCAATGATCTCGATGCAGCAACGAATCTTTTAAAATCAATCAAACCAGATTTTAAAGGTCGATTCATAAACTTGCCGTTGACGTTGCCATTGAAACTTGGCACTCCGTTGGGGTGACATTCGAGATGCAGTGCTGCCAACTTGTAGGAAAATCCCCTTAAGAAGGGGGGACATTTTTTTGCTTGACAACACTAATTCCAAAACAATCAAATTTTGATACAGATAATGAGGTCCACTAAGCCATTTAATCACCTGTTTACCGAAAGCCTCATATTTTAAATAGCTACCATCATTTTCTGCACTGTAGACGTTTAAATCAACAAGATTTATTGCTATTCGTCTCAAAAACAGATTAGGTATTATTACTACGAGGGTTTACATTTTACCATTTTTTCTTATCTTAATATGTGTAGTCTTCCTTTCACAACAAGGAAGGTAAAACATGTTTAAAATGGTAAATTTTTGAAGGAAGGTATCGATTTTGCCAGGAGACTCCGCCCCTCAGTCTGACAACGAATGAAAAATTCATTAATTAAATTCATCAGGCGGATGGGTGGGACTCCTCTTTTGGTTTTCTTTTTTAATTAATACATTGAGTGTTCTTTGTTTAATACGATTACTTAAGAATATATTTCACATGGTAATTTCTCGTAGAAAAATAACGATTTTACATTTAAGCTCCGCCCCTCGGCTTACGACGAATAAAAAAATAATCAGAATTAAGACAGGGTGGGTGGGCGGGGCTTCATTTTGCCTTTTTTTTTCTTAATATGTGTAGACTTATTTTAACAACAAGAAACTTAAAACATTTCTAAAGTAGTAATCAAGTTAAATCTTCCATTTTTCTTCTACTCTTCCATTTTTCTTCTACAATCTCGTTAAATACGGCAAAAAAACCATCACAATTGAGATTGGCCGCGTGGGCAGGGCTTATATTTTGCCTTTTGTCTTAATATACGTAGTCGTCTTTTCAGAACAAGAAACTTAAAACATGTTTAAAGTGGCAAATTGTTGTAAGCCCCGCCTTCTGATTTGACAACGAATGAAAAATTCGTCTCAATTAAGAATGGAGATCGGGCCGGGTGTGGGTGGGGCCTAATCTTTGGCTTTATTTTTCTTAATATACGTAGTATTTTGTGAAAAACACGATACTCAAAAACATGTTTTTAATTTCTGGTGGACAAATAAGGATTTTGCAGTTAAGCTCCACCCCTTTGGCTCACGACGAAAAAAAAATTATCACAATTAAGATAGGGTGGGCGGGCGGGGCTTATATTTTGCCTTTTTTTTCTTAATATGTGTAGACTTATTTTGACAACAAGAAACTTAAAACATTTCCAAAGTGGTAAATTTTTGTAGTAATCAACTTAAATCTTCCATTTTTCTTCTACTCTTCCATTTTTCTTCTACAATCTCGTTAAATACGGCAAAAAAACCATCACAATTGAGATTGGCTGCGTGGGCGGGGCCTATATTTTGCCTTTTGTCTTAATATACGTAGTCGTCTTTTCAGGACAAGAAACTTAAAACATGTTTAAAATGGCAAATTGTTGTAAGCTCCGCCCGTTGATCTGACAACGAATGAAAAATTCATCTCAATTAAGAATGGAGATCGGGCCGGGTATGGGTTTAAAATGGCAAATTGTTGTAAGCCCCGCCTGACAACGAATGAAAAATTCGTCACAATTAAGAATTGAGATCGGGCAGGGTGGGGCCTAATCTTTGGCTTTATTTTTCTCATATACATAGTATTTTGTGAACAACATGTTTTTAATTTCTCGTGGAGAAATAAGAATTTTGCAGTTAAGCTCTACCCCCATGGCTCACGACGAACAAAAAAATCATCACAATTAAGATAGGGTGGGCGGGCGGGGCTTATATTTTGCCTTTTTATTTTCTTAATATACGTAGCCATCTTTTCACAACAAGACATTTAAAATATGTTTATATTTTTGCAAGGAAATATGGATTTTGCAATTATGGGGCGGAGCCTAATTGCAAATTCATTATTTCCTTATACAAGTTTTCCACTTTAAACATGTTTTAAGTTTCATCTTGTGAAAAGAAGTCTACACATGTTAAAACAAAGAGGCAAAATTATAATTTTTTTTATTCGCCGTGTACCAAAAGAGCGAAGTTTAACTACAAAATACTTATTTCTTTACAGGAAATTAAAAACATATTTTTGAGTATCGTGTTGTTCTCTTCATACAATATATATTAAGAAACAAAGGCAAAATATAAAACTCTGCCCGTTCACCCCATCTAAATTGTGATGATTTTTTAAATTTTTAGAACCTTCAAACACGTTTAAAATGGTAAATTTTTGTAAGGAATTGAGACAGGGTGGGTGGGCGGTGCTTATCTTTTGCCTTTTTTTCGTAATATGTGTAGTCTTATTTTGACAACAAGAAACTTAAAAAATTTCTAAATTTTTGTAGAAAATAACTTAAATTCTCAAATTTTCTGCTACAACCTCTTTAAATACGGCAAAAGTTGAACCTCAAAGTAACTGATTCAATAATATACAGGTTTGTTTAGAGGTGGCGGTGTTGTTTTTGCCACTAAAAACTGTTACTTTTGCATTGAGATCGATTTTTCATCAATAACCAACATTTTTCCTTCTG